CCCGTGTCCCTGCTAAAATAAAGACTCGCTCTGATGCTCCTGTAAACCTGGTCATGATTTATTTCTCAGGTAGTGTGGGCTCCAAAAGTCCTACACGTCTGCCTGGGAGTCTTATCCTGAGTAGCATGGTCACAGCGGTTGTTTCCAAGAAAGTGCGATAAACACTCAGAGCTCTTAGCACCAAAGAGCTCCAGAGACCAGCAGCTGATGGAGAAACAGCCTCTATAGTGGACCTATGGTGTCCAGCACAAGTGGGCATCAGGCGGTAATGGCTGGCAGGGATGGTGACCAGCAACTGGCTGTGTCAACTGTTGGCATCCAGCATTACCTGGCGACATCAGAGCTGCTGACAGAGCTGCACTTTGCTGACTGACAATTTTCATCTCAACTGAGTAAAAGACCCTTAGGCTGATTGGCAACACTACCATCTTTTAGCATTTTAACACTACCATCTGCGATCTTTTAGACTACAGCAATACCAGGGGTGTGAAGTGGTACTTCCTTGTGGTTTTGACTTGCATTTGTCTTATGAGTGATGTCACTGAGCATCTTTGCATGTGCTTATCGGTCACTGGTGCACCTTTTTTGAGAAAATGTCTATTCAAATTCTCTGCTCATTTTTTTTTTTTATTTTAAAGATAAAAGGAGGGAAACATTAACAGACATACAACATTTTACAACATATCACAAGCACAGTACAGACAACACAGAGTTACAAACAAAGTGGTAGGGAATTAACAATGGTGGTTGTATTACATATTGATATCTTCAAAGTGGCTTCTCGTGAAAACAGATATAAACATGCAATACTGGTCAACCAAAGACTCATTGACAGTTTCTTTCAGCATAGAAATAGAAGACAGAAGAACAACCATGTTAACTATCCTGTATATACATACATACAAAATTTCTCCTTCTTTCCCTTCTCTTTTCCCACATCCCAGAAGCCCTTTACTCTTCAGTGGTTTCCTATCATTTCACAGTGTCTATCATACCTCCAAGTTTAAATTAACTCTTTCAAGTTTTACACTAGTGACACAATGCGGTGCTTGCACATGTATGTTTGATTTATTTCACTTATGAGTATGGTCTCTAGGTGTGACCATTTAAATATAAAGGCCTCGAGTTTATCTTTCTTTACAGCTGAGTAATATTCCATTATATAAAAGTACCACAATTTTCTTATCCAATTCTCGGTGGATGGACATTTGGGTTGCTTCCACATTTTAGCAATTACAAATTGTGCTGCTATGAACATAGGTGCACATATATCACTGTGATATGATGTTTTTAGATCTTCTGGGAAAATACCCAGCAGGGGGATAGCTGGGTTGAATGGGACCTCTAAATCTCTGCTCATTTTAAAAATTAGGTTGTCTTTTTTCTAATCAGTTATGAGTTTTTTATGTACTCTGGGTATTAGATCTCATCAGACTTACAGTTTCTACATAGTTTCTCCCACTCTGTGTTGAAAAGCTTTTTATTTCCTCGATAGTGTCCTTTGAAACATAAAAGTTCTCATTCCGGTGAAGTTCACTTTATCTAGTTTTTTCTTCTGTCACTTTCACTTCTGTGTGATATCTAAGAAACCAATGCTCAATCCGAGGTGACAAAAATGTACCCCCTACTTTTTCTTCTAAGAGTTTTGTAGCTTTAGCTCTTTGATTTAGGTTTTCGATCTTTTCTTCAGCCAGTTTTGTTTGGTGTGAGGTAGGGGCTTATTTTCGGTGTGAGGCAGGGGATGTAACTTACACAAATATACCTTTGTTGTGGATATCTAGTTTTAGAAAGGACTATTCATTGCTCACTGAACTGTCATGGCATCCTCTTTGAAAATGATTTGACCATAAATGTTAGTGTTATTTCTGGGTCTTCGGTTCTCTTCCACTAATCTATGCCAGTACCGTATGGTCTTGATTAGAATTTTACGGGCATTGTGTTGAATCCATAGATAGATCTGAGAAGTACAGCCAGGATTGGGTGAAGTAAAGCGACTATCCAGGTTGTCTGTCTTTCTTTAATGACAATCTGTTCCTTTTATGGTCTTTTGGCTAGAGAAAACAGACGTTTTTGATGGGCTTTTTTTGGTGTTTCTGGGTCACCAGCTTCATCGGCATTACCTCTGGAATAAATGAGATAAAGGACACCCTGGGAACTCACTGCCATGTCATTTGCTGGGTCCTGAGGCCCCTAGCCAGTTTGCCTTTTTCTCCCCACCCTTTAGAGTTTTGGGGACTTTTGTTTAGTTTTTAAGGTTATTTTCAGCTGTGCTTGTGAAAAGAATAGGTGCATCCATTCTGTCTTCCCAGAAATGGAGGCCAACCATATTTTTTAAAGATATTTTTTCATAGATACCTGATCTTGTTACATAATGACTTTTCCTTCACGACCTCTGTCCATTTTACAAATCTTGGTCCTTCACCGTGCATCCCAAATATGCTTAAACTCTTTTCCCAGACTTTTCTAGTATTTAAATTTCACCTGGAATTAACTCATATTATGGCTACTGACTTTGTTGGCCATTATTCATAGCATTCGATGAAGTCATGGGCTTTAGACTTTTGGATTCCAGGCTAACTTGGGGTGAAAAACTTTCTCTCCGCTGCCCCATAGGATCCTTGGTCTGCAGTATGTGTGTAAAAATGTAGTTTTTTAAATTGGTGGTTCAGAATCATGACCTCCCATGGTCTGTCCATCAATCTGGGCACACGAGACCCAAAAGATTGTGTCTGTGTTCCCGGTCTGTCTTGGGGCTACACCTTCCTATTTCATCCTTGTGATGAATCAGATTTCTTAGACCCCCAACACAGGGGACTCTTCTCTCCCCTAACCTCTGGCTTCAACAGGAGGCCTGGCTCATTTCCTATCCTGGTGCTCCTGTCACGCCTCAGGACCCAGCGGGCTCAGGGCTAGGCCAATACTCAGCAGTCTGTGTCTCTCGCCCACAGTAAAGTTTATCTTGTTTTCAAGCCCAGCCAAATCCTTTAATACTCTCTTTCTATAGTTTGTTGTTCTGTGTTCACAGCAGAGATAGGCGTTTCAGGGCATGAGTCCTTGCAACATCTGGATTAGAATCCCTGTACTCTTCCTCTGTTTTTCTTCTTTTTTAAATTCAGTCATTTTTACTTTACTCTACTTTAATATCCTGCCACCTTATGTCCTATTTGACATAAGGTGAAATACAAACGGCACTTCTTCAATTTCATGTTTTATCATTTCTGACATTAGGGTGTGCATTAGAGTCAAGACACTTGGGAATTTGAGATGTGGAGTGTCCACCGTGTCTGGAATTACAGCAGACACCCACTCCTGTACAAAGAACCCAGAGGTCTGGGGAGGCACGACTCTGGCACTAAGGGGAGAGAGACCATGGGGTATTTCACAGGACTGGGGATTTGTTTGGAAGAATCAGGAGGGGTAGGGAAGTCCCGGCCACTTTCTGCTTTTAAAGTCACTGACCCCAGGCAAGTGTAACAGAGTTTCTGCCTTCATCTGATTTGGGAAAGATCCATGGAAGCAATCCAAGGCCACATTCTCTTCCTTCTTTCCTCTCTTGCTTCATGCCCTGGAAGTCTGTGGCTGGTCACAGACATTTCACAACTTGGCAGACTAGGATACAAGCGTCCCTCCAAGAGCTGAATTCCCACACCACTTCCCATTTTGGAGTGACAGCTGTGGGTGTGAGTGAATCCCACTCCATCCCAGGCCCACCCATGCAGTGAGGGGTCCCCGAAAGACCAGCATGGCTGTTGTCTTTTCTCTCCAGCCAGGGCCCAGCTTGGAACTGGCTCCTTCCAAGCAGCTCAGCAGAATCAAGCTGGAAAGGCAGCCAGATCCTGGGTCTAAGAGTGCACACCCTCTGGCCTGATAATTTCTCTCTTTGGCACTGACCACAGGAAGCCTGCAGAGAAAGAGGCTGGGATTTATACAGCAGTGTGGTTTATAAAACCTCAGTGTGAACTGTAAGGTAGAGATCTATCAAAACAGGCATGGTTGAATGAACTGTGTACATGACTTCAGGGCAACACTAGGCAGTAACTGAAATCGTGCTTTCAAACTATTTTTAATGGGGAAAATCTCAGAATTCAATGTGCTGTTAAGACTACAAAGGAGTTCATAAGACACAAAAGCAGTATTTCATGGAAGTGGTCTATATGCTCATGAATAAATGAACAGATAAAGAAAATGTATATATATATATGTATATACATACATACACACACACACATACACACAACGGAGTACTACACAGCCACAGGGTGTATTTGAGTCATTTATCAGAAAATGGACAGATTTTGAGACCCTAAAGCTACATGAACTAAATCAGACAGATAAATATCATGTGTTTTCTCTCAGATGAGAAACTCAAAATATAAATAATTTAAAGAGCAAAATAAGAGAGATGATAAGAAGCAGGAAGGTAGCGTTTCTGGAGATGAGAAGATCTGAGAAAAGAAATTTTTTAGAAAGTAAAAAATGGCCGGGTGAGGTGGTGCACGCTTGTAATCCCAGCACTGGGAGGCTGAGGCAGGAGGATCGCTGTGAATTTGAGGCCTGCCTGGGCTACAAAGTGAGTTTAAGGCCAGCCTGAACTGCATAGTGAGACCCTGTCTCAAAAAGGCAAAAAAAAAAAAAAGTTTAAAAATGGTACTTAATGGGACATATCTTGCAAAAATGACAGGAACTACAGAAATACTACCATATGCTATCTGTAGATGACTGAAAAGATTTTAGGACTTCTCAGACTTCTCAAGACTTGCCACAGTGCATATATACCACATTGAATTTATATTCAAGCTACAATAACAGGAAAAGTCCATTTCATTTAAAATACAAGTACAGCACTTACAAAAGAGCTTTGCAAGCAGGCTTGGGAAGGATCAGAAAAGCAAGGCGCCTATCTCAGTAATAACACGACCACAGCCACACTCATCGTTGATTGGCTGCTCAGGCGAGCGGGCCTTCCACAGTCCCTAGGAGACGGGGTGGTTACGTCACTTCCGGAGGCGGGGCGCCAGCTGCTGCCGCGCGCTCCTGAGCGGGCGGTCTCCATGGCAACCAGTGGGGCCCGCGAGCGGCCCCTCGGTCCCCGCCGCCGTCGCCGCCTCGTCGGCCCCGCCCGCACAAAGGCC